TATCCACGCCTGCTGCTGTCAGGAGGGGAGGGACGGATTGAGAGTGGGAGGGAACGACAGAGGGAGGTACCCACTCACCTCTATCCACGCCTGCTGCTGTCAGGAGGGGAGGGACGGATTGAGAGCGGGAGGGAGGGACAGAAGGGGGTACCCACTTACCTCTATCCACGCCTGCTGCTGTCAGGAGGGGAGGGACGGATTGAGAGCGGGAGGGAGGGACAGAAGGGGGTACCCACTTACCTCTATCCACGCCTGCTGCTGTCAGGAGGGGAGGGACGGATTGAGAGCGGGAGGGAGGGACAGAAGGGGGTACCCACTTACCTCTATCCACGCCTGCTGCTGTCAGGAGGGGAGGGACGGACTGAGAGCGGGAGGGAGGGACAGAAGGGTGTACCCACTCACCTGTATCCACGCCTGCTGCGGCACGTACGCGACGCTGCCGCTCACGACCACCTTCCCGATGCGCTTCTCCATCTCACCCAAGAGGGCGCTAACGAGCGACGACTTGCCGGCGCCGACCTGGCCGACGATGGCGACGACGGAGCCCTGCGGCACGCGCAGGTTGATGTTGGCGAGGGTAGGTTCGCCGCTCGCGTCCCACGAGAACGTTCCGTTGTCGACGCTGATCGGTATTGCTGCGAAGGAGGAGGACGAGGTCAGATGTCGTCGTTCGTGAGTGGGAGCGATGATCGCACGTATAGCGAAAGAAATTCGAACGTGTAAAGAACGGAGGGCTGTCCGTGGAGGACACTCGCTCGTGTGACTCTAGTATGCAGGTTTGAGTGCAGCTCAACATTGTATAATCAAGTAGGGCAGCCAGTCTGAGGTCGGTAGAAAGTCGGTCAAAGGTTGGTCAACAATCGGTCGAAGATCAGTCTAAAGTTCGTCAACAGTCAATCAAAGGTCGGGCAACAGTCAACCAAAAGTCGGTCAAGAGCCAATAAAAGGTCGGTCAACAGTCGGTCAACGATCAATTAAACCTTGGTCAAAGGTCAATCGAAGGTCGCACGAGCACTCACCCGCGCCGGCGTCGTAGGTCACAGCATCGGGGTCGAGATCCTCCGTGACGAGGTAGCGCCGCAACCTTTGCATCGACACATGTGCCTGCACCGTGTACGAGATCACCATCGGCAGCATGGACAGCGGAAACTTGAGGATGTTGAAGAGCGACAGCGAGACGAAGGCCTTGTCCGCCGTCAGCACGTGCGTCGGGTCCGACAGCACGTACGCCATGAACGAGAACAGCGCCACCTGCGGGGGAGAAGACGAAGTTTCACGCAGTTTGTTTTACGCGAAAGTTACGCGTTAGTTTTACGCGTAGTGAGTTTTACGTGGGCACGCAGGCCCACGTACTACGCCACCACTACTAAACAACAACATTAGATGGATGTGTAGGCCCGTATTTCTAGGTACGCTGACGTTAGAGAGCTAGAGAGATTGGAGGTATATGTTAAGAGGAATGGCGCGCAGGCCCACACACCGCACCCCTCCCTCAATCATAGCTAACAGTAAGAGATGGCGAAGAGGGATATCTTACGAGGAAAGGCGCGCAGGCCCACGTGAACGATGAGACGGCGTTCAGGTAGTTGGTGCTGCGTAGGACGACGAGCTCGCGCTCCCGTATCTCTAGCAGCTTCTCCTGGAAGGGCGGCTCCCACGCGTACAGCTTCAGCACCCGCATCCCGTTCAGCACCTCGTTCATCAGCTTGATACGCGAGTCCTTCTCTCTCATCTGCTTCACCTGCAAATAAGAAGACTGAGGGTGAAGACAGAGAGGACGAGGGGAGAGGATGAGGAGAGAGGACGAGGAGAGAGGATGAGGGGAGAGGATGAGGGGAGAGGACGAGGGGAGAGGACGAGGGGAGGAGAGGATGAAGTGGAGAGAACGAGGGGAGAGGAAGAGGATGTTACAGTGCATGAGTGAGCGAGGATGTGGAAGCCATCGTACCTGCAAGGTGCGCGTGCGCGCGGCG